TTGAGTCTGACATCTACATAGGTAACAGTCGTTTCTTTACCGCCACACAGTGACTAATTTTGACAGAACAAAACGCCATGTAATGAATCACCTTTACTTCTTGCCAAGATCATGTTACCTAAATACATTAACACCAAAGCCACTAGACACAGTGTCATGTAGCCCCTCCCCACGAGTGTAGTCGCTTGTATTTTGAAACAACTTTGTTTCCTGTGTTTCGAACTTAACGTAATAGAATGCCATAATAAATAAGCCTTAGATTTGTTTGGAATTTGGGTGGAATTTTAGCAAAACCTAACTGGTTTAACAATGACGGACATTTTCAGCATTTTTTTTCAGTTTCGTCAACTTTTATAATATTGCCAATTCCGTGTAGTTAAATCATCTTCATTTCTGTAACTAAAATACATGTGATGACGATGTGTGGTATTTGGTTTTCAAAACTAGACGATACGCTCTTTTCTTTCAAATTGGCAACTTTGTCGGTGAACTTCAAAGACGTGTGAGTGTTAATTTCAAATGTTAATTTCCATTTTTGTCACTGATGTCTGAATAATTTATAATAATATAAATAATTTCCTCCCAGTATTACATACGTAAAAACACGACCACCATGCCATTCCACGTAAATATCTGATCACACAAAACATTCAACGCTGTATACACGACAATACTGATTCAGCTGTGTGCACTAAAACGTCCATCATAACATTGTGAATAAACTGTTATTAACAGTAATATCAGCACAGCATGCCCAGTACATAGTGTATAGCAATAGATCGACTGAGTTACGGTCCTGTGTCAATTAACATATATTTTGACAGCTGAGATCTGTCATATTTTACTACATCATTCGAGAATGCAGCTTTTGATGTAACAGATGTATTTTGGAAATACTAGCATGATAAACACAACAAATAGAAATTCATCATGGTTGAAATATTTATGTCTTTTTCACAAAATATAACAACAGATTTATATATTTGTATCATTTTTATGGACATTTTTAATAAAAAAATTATTCTGATTAATTGACAACTTTAATTCAAAAGCTAGTAATTTGATATTCAAAATACAACTCTTTATTCTGTGTTATGTATGAGTTGCATACGTGTCCCAGAATTCAATTCTATGATTAGGGTGATTCCGGGTCACACACTGAATAATAATGATTCGAAAATAATGTCCTACCAGTAACATGATGTTTTTTGTCTGGTAAAATGTAACATATGCGTCATGCCAGCTAGAACTGAATTCTGGTATATATATATATATATATATATATATATATATGAATGTTAGATACAATATACTTAAGCAGTGTCATTGCTAAATACTGGACGTAAGAAAAAATACGCAAGTGATAGGTTATTGGAAATTTTACGTATGTTACTTCTATAATATAATACTTATGTTTGACATGGTTGTCGTGTCATGAATTAGTTTTCGCGTATCTGTTGTCCGACTTATATACCTAGTTACAGGTGAATGGGTGTTTTATATCTGTCATCGTTTAGGCTCATGCGAGGTTCTGTACGGAACTTGGCTCAGTGATTTAGAACTAATTACGATACAACCGTCGCTATTCGGACTACTATTTCTGACAGTTAGTATTCGTAGTTATTAATGTAGTGAACGATTAATTAAAAGATATGACGTGTCCAGTACTTGGTGTGATTGGCTGTATGATTGAAGGCCACGCCCTAGAGTCTTTATACTGCTTTGTAATTGGTTAAGGTTTTGACAATGAATAAAGGAGTTTTAGTTGGTCTTGGCGAGAACACCACGAGAGAGGCAGTCTTTAATCAGCCTTGCGGTAGTCTTGGAGACTTTTCCCCAGGGCGCTGTGTCTTATAAAGTACTCGACTGACCGACTAAAGACGAGAGTTGATACGTATTTCGTTGTGTGCGTCTATTTGACTGTAAGGTAAACACTGCCGACTAAGTATAGTTTTTCTATGCTCAGTGCACATAAAATAACTCGTTGTTATTATCTTAAAGAGTAGTTTCCGCGTAACAACTGGCGTATTCCTCTAAATACATACGTATGCTCTAATTATGCATTCCTTCATTTCTAAGTGGAGCCGTGCCTGTCCAACAATGATAGTATGAGTGGCTAATATGCATCTTCAAATAAATAAATAAATAAATATCCCCCCCCAAAAAAAAACAGATTTCAATCGTTTAGCTCATATGATTGTCAACTAAGCATCCGATTCCATATATTTGTAAACGCGGGACGATTATCACCAGAAGATATGAGCTAAGATAGGAAACACAAACTGCATCAAGTGATTTAAAAAACATGATATATACCAATATTTATTATTATTATTAATATCATGTACGTCATGCAGTGTGTTGACCAACCTGGGGTAGAGTTCACATATAGAATTACAGATCATACTCATTTGTCAAAAAATACTGATAAACATATTCCTTTCTAAGTGACAAACGATAACATATCCATGAAGGGCAGTGGCTGTCACGCAACGTACACGTGTGTTAATAACCATTAAGTTTCCCAGAATCCAGTTCGTTCTCCAAATGGCAAGACCGCGAGGTTTGATCTGGATGTGCTATTCAACTTTTTGGAATATTCGTGGATCATCCAAGAAATTGCCTAGTTTAATCTTGGTGACGTCTCTTGTTTGTATTCGTTGGTCTGCGCATCACTCAGTTGCCGTCTTTGTTCGTATGTGTCAATATTTCGTGCATGCGTGGCTCGACGATCACCGCCCTTTAAAACAAATGTATTCAAAGTTACCAGTTATCATGCAACGGACTCCAAATATTAAAATCAATTACAAGTTTTAATTATTGTTTAAAAATAATAATCATTATAAACTAACTCTTGATTTATTTTTGTATACATATATTTTCTTAGTTATTAGAAAAGTGTAAATAAATATCAACGCATCTTTGAAAACAATTGCCTGACACTACGGTTCGTTCTCTGACAACATTGTATAATAATGTCAATATGTTACAGATCGTTGTAGATGGTACATTTTACCAATTAAATCACAGGTTCCAATTGTGGTATGAAATCAATTCAAATAACTTCAGCAAACATAACACAAAAACACGTATAACAGTGACAATTGTGTATCGCTCATTTCATTGTCAATGCTTGTGAGATTCGACTGTCCTGTTCCAAATATGAGTCTTTAAGTGAAATAGAGCTTGTTGTGGTATACACGGGAATTCATGATTTTTTTAACAAAAATGATAAAAAAGGAAAAATAAAATACAGCAACCCAATCCTAGAAATGTATGTGAAAAAAATGCACAGATTGCCCCCCCCCCCCTGTCGTTTTGGGTCACAATCTTTTATTTTCCCGTTTTTATACTCGCGGTCTTTTGACAAATATTTTGAATGCGGAGTAGATTTCCTGAATGGATTTTGGTAACAGGCGGTACAGGGATTATTGAATTCATCTTCCTATATCCCGACATTGTTTGTTCAAAAACACCGGTTAAATATCGACTTTCTTATTGTTTTCAAATGGATATGTTGATAGACGGTGACAAAATATATGCCACATCGAGATATTTAAATTCATCAATTGAATGATAGCAACTGAATACTAACGTAGCTTTTATCTGTTGTGTCTTTGATCTGACCGCATATAATAAGATAACTGTCACGAATTAAAGGTCTTAAATAGAAAAAATGTTATACATTGTCATTTTCAACATCTGATTGATCAGAGGAAGCGAGACCACCAGAAAGTCGGCAAATAAACACGAAAGCGGATGAGCAATAAAGCAGGGAATGTGACTGTAATCTGAGTTTCAGGGCTCGGGGGACATCTTCATTACTTTTGCTAAGAACAAATCTTTGCTTTAATATAGCGACTGAGGCGTGATTACGGTGATGTTTGCTTTAAGGCACCATAGTCCTACGAAGCCATTATAACATATATAAACATGGGTTGCATATTGATAGCTTAGATTTAACAAAATTTGTTTTGTAACATTGTTTACTCAAAGGTAAATCTCGTCAACAGAGGAACATATGCATCCTCCGTGACATAATGTCGATGCACTCTCGCTACATAGTTTGAATTTTTACAGCTGTTTCACAAGATAAGAACATCGTACCCAACTAACAAACAGCGTCTCGTAATAATCACTGTCAAAACATATTCTTGTTCATCTTCTCTGCAATCAAAATGTTCACACTGCTTCAGAACCAACACACACGGGGGGGGGCATGAGCATGTTACCATCCCTACTCAACTATGTCTACAGTGTTTTTCTTTACTTACGTGTTTTGACGACTCAAAAAAGAAAACAATAGTCTCTGTTTGTTTTTATCGCGGTAAGATTCGTAGCCTCATGTAATGAGAACCGGTAAGACTTGCTTGCCTAAGGGATTTGTGTGTGTTCTTTTAATTTACATGCGAATTAAACATTACAATAATACACAGTTGGAGATTAGTAAGCTGGAATCTGAAAACCTAGTCAAAATCTGCCCTAATGCAGATACTGACACCCGTCTTTTGCTGTGTAGAGGTTACTTCGTGCTATCTGACCACGTGATACATTGGCAATAGTCGTACACCCATTAATTTCTACAATTGTTGTCATTGGTTTAACGGAAGTCAATACTGCTAAATCGTCTTGATGTTCCTGTGGGTGACGTGAAAGCCAAACGATGTGTACATTAATGTACAACGCTTATGACAATCAGTTATATCACATGGCATTTGTTGAGTGGTGATCCATGTAATATTCGATCGCCATCTGGAGCGCATATTTTGCACAAAGGTCACGTGTCATCCTCTTCAATGCAGCTTATCTTGAAATCTCCTATATACAACACATTGTAAATATGACGTCAGGAATTTGTGAGTTTCGTATACCCCTGTTCAGAAATCGGTTATTCAGTTTCATGAATCCACTTTCGCAGTTGAGCAAGCAATTCGCCATTTTCTTGCCTTAGTCTATGGTTTATAAGCTGATTGTTGTGATATATACATTCTTTTTTACAGATTGCATTGTGTAACAAACATACATTCAGACGAGTCATTGATACATAAACGCAAGACACTGTCGAAAGGTGAGTGATATATATGTTGGGAACAGATTTCTGTTATTAGCATATTTGGGGATATCGTATGATATTCTTTATCTTGCATTTTGTCACTGTAGTTTATAGCCTATCATGTTATTGTAACTTGAGATTTCCCGCTAGAATGTAAACTTTTCACATGTGTAAGTCAAGGCTGACATGAGTCAGTAGTGTTTAGACCACGGAATAAAGTAGTCGTGCTTTTCAACTCGAAGTAAGAGACTTATCTGATTCTGTAAAAGAAACTATACCCCACAGAAACGTAGTTCTAAATTCATCGGTAATTTAACTTTTTTATTCTATTTCAATTAAGTAAATCATACAGCTAGTTAGAAAAAGCACAAAAACAAATAATAGGAAATATTCTTCACGTCATTGCTACCGTATGTAATACTATGATATGGTGAGCGCAAGGATATACATATTACAATGTGATGAGAATAATTTAGCTTATAACCTGAACCATCACCTTCTTGCAATAATCTACTACTTGCAAACAATTTCTGATCTCGATTTTTGATAAAAATGTATAACACAGTATATACACTCCATATATAATCCTGTATTAAATATTATATATTTCATTTCTAGATAAACATGAAGATCAATATTCTTCTAGTTCTAATGACAGTCACATTGGTGGCCGGCACCAATCCGACTAATTTGTGCACACTTGTTTGTAACAGACTTGCAGGCTATCAATTGAGTGGATTCAATGCACAGGGATGCCTCACCACGTGTGAAAATTGTGATGACGACGTACCCGATGAAACTACCACATGGGTAGATTTCATGGACGATTGTACTAATAAGCAATAAAAGGAAAAATTGTCACATGACCAGATTGCGCGTTGTCGGACTACTTCTATTCTATATTCTATATTCTACTTCCTTAACTAGATCCTACCTATGACCTCTGAGCCCCTTCTCCCTGGGAAATAAATCACCCACAATTGCACTTAGCTAATACAGATAAGAATTGACAATACGCCATTTACATTCATTACATTTACATTCAGTTGACACGTGATGAGTGTAATGCCTGATATTAGAATGAGGTCAAGGATCAAATAGATTGTTGGGCTTAGTTATAACTATGCTAGTTATTGTTATTGAAAATATATAGTTATATAGAAGTAATACTATCAAATCCCATTTATGAGGTAACCTCTGTATGTCATATATAAGCCACATACTATAACACTGACATAGTCTAGAGAACAATTGATCTATATATGCTAGGTTTGGACAACAACTTAACATCCATGTAAAAATCCTGCTTTAAAGGCGACTAAGAATGTACTCATGTAAGTGGGTTAATTACAATGTTTTACAAGTTACAGTGGAGAGTAACAACTTTATAATGGCATCATAAGTTCATGCATACCTTCTTATTTGTGGGCGCACTATAAGTTCAGTAAAATCACGAGCAAAGGAATGCCTCTGTCTTAACTTGCATGTAAACAACAATCGTAATATTGTATCATTTAATTTTTTGAATGTAATAATAACATTATATTTTGCATTACTCTTGCGCATGACGTCATTATAAGTACATTGACCTCTTGCGCGAGACATATTGCGTACTAAATAATCATGTTAGCTTTACGCGGACGCTGTCTATACTTGGTGATATTTTCTGTGGTGTATTACTTATCTATCTATATACAATCTGTAATTAACAACTTATTGGGAATAAAATACATGAGGGAAATCATTGTTGTGTGTTGATAAGTCACTGCCAGGTTGTATATTATGCATATCAATATACACACTATTTATTTATAATGGAGGGGACAAGGGGGTAGCTGTTACAGTTTTACGGGAAATAAAAACGGCTTTTTACAATTTACAAGAAAAAAAGCCGTTTTTACAGTTTACAGTGAAAATTTAATTTTGCAGTGAATTGTGTCATCTAGTCGTTTTGCAGTTTCGAAAATGTAATTTCCCTGGATTATTCTTTACGACTTTTTTTATTTGGATGTAAATGTCTGTACGTACCAAGAAAAATGACACATTTTTACAGTGTACGAACAAAATATTTGATTGATTATGTTGCGTTGTACGTCTAGCCTGTGATTACAGAATTACGGAATTTATTTTTTCAATTTACGTTGTACGAACGAAAATATATTGCAATTACGTTGAACGAAAATAACCTTTGCCCCCTCTATAATGCCATATGCTTTAAAAAAACATGCATTTATTTTGCTAATCTTCGTAAAATGGGTATATTAAACGGAAACGTTCGAGAAACTCAGGTAGACAAGACTCTGGTAGACTTTGATGGACTCTGGTAAAATTTAATAGACACTAGAAGACTTTGAGAGACTCTAGAAGACTTTAATAGCCTCTGGTACACTTTTAGAGACCTTAGTAAACTTTGAGATACAAGACTCTAGTAGACTTTGATAGACACTGGTAGACTTTGAGAGACTTTAGTAGACTTTAAGAAACTTTGGTAGAGTTTGACAGACTCTAGTAGATTTTGAGAAACTCTAGTAGACTTTGACAGACTATGGTAGACTTTAAGAGACGAGACTCTGGTAGACTTTGGGAGACAAGGCTCAGGTAGACTTTGAGTGACTCTGGTAGACTTTGAGAGACAAGACTCTGGTAGACTTTGATAGACTCTAGTATACTTTGAGAAACTTTGGTAGACTTTGACAGACTCTAGTAGACTTTGATAGACTCTGGTATTCTTCGAGGGAATCTTGTATACTTTTATAGACTTCAGTAGATTTTGAGAGACAAGACTGGTAGACATTGGCAGACTCTGGTAGACCCTGGTAGATCCTGGTAGACCCTGGTAGACTCTAGTAGACATTGAGATAATCTAGTAAGTATACTTTGATAGACTCTAGTAGACTTTGGGAGACTCTGGTAGACTTTGAGAGACTCTAGTAGTTATATCTCAAGCATTAAAACGATTTTTATGTAACTTGGTAAGAATGTTACTCATGATTGGCTGCTGCAATTCATTGTTTTATTTTATATTTTAATTAAAATTTAGCATTTTTTAAGTATTTTTTTATTATTTTTTTTTCATTTTTAATAGCCAGTCGTCCTATTTTACAAGTGCTCAACTACAAAACAATCTTTGCAGAATATAACGTAGACAGTTTATAACTGCTTTTGACTACTATTTTTAGCAATTATCAGACTATTACCGGGATCTCAACATTATTCCACATAATACTCTTTCGAATATCATGTGAACCTAAGTTCAGAGAATCCCTATATATCAACTGGATTCACAATTTTATATGACAATGGGTCAAAGTAGAGGGGTTTTGCTTTCAGAGTTTTCACCAGGCACCCGCAAGTAGCGCATTAAAAGTTTGTATATTCAGGCCACACGCGCACATTCGTTTGACACAAATTCAGCGACGGCCTTACAGTTAGATGACAATTTCGGTTTCAAATACCCCGGGAAAGTGTTCTATGTTCTTGGTGTAATTATGGCCCGGGGGTCCGACATAAAGAGTGATCTGGTACGCATGTCTGTGAAAGAAAACGCGTTAAAAGGGTGTTTTTAAAGAAAAGCACGTTAACGCGCATTACGCGTTTAGGGTTATCTTTTCAGTCAAAATGGACAAAAAGGGTGTCTTTTCCAATAAAGGGTGGTTATTTTTTAAATGATCGCAACAACGAGGAAAACGTCCGGCCCCCTGGTTAACGACCCTCGATCACGGGCGATCACGGCATATGACCAACCCGTGCTTACACTGAAGGGCTCAAATATCGCGAGATCAGGCGCGAGTTCAAGGTAAATAGATTTTAAAACACTCAACGCATTTAGGGTATGTATTTTAGTTTTCTAACAGTGAAAAGGGTACGAAATTTTGACCTTTTAAAACGTGTTTAGGGTCATTTTGAAAACCCCTTTCACAAACATGGGTTCTAGGTATTTCCACAAGTCGGACCCCCGCATC